TGTAAGGTATTCAATGGTTAAGGTTTTGTTTATGCTGTTGGGCCTTGGTGCTGCAGCTCTTAAACACTACATGATGTGTTCTGTGGCTCAGTAGGGCCTGGCTCAGCCCTTGAGACCGAGACACCTTGGACAGAAAACATTAAAAATACCCAAAATGAGAAAGTTACTAGGCTCATTGAGGGCTTTTGGTTCTGTTTCCCTATAGTCCCATAGCCAGCGCTGGAAACAAACTTCAAAAAGTATGAGATCTACTTAGAACCCTATTGAAAATAATCATTTAAATTAGCCTGTCAAACAAAACCTAAATGTACTGTATTTGGGAAGTGGAAGGATATCATAGTACTCAGGAAAACCCACACAAAAGCAAGAACAAGTAAACACCACACTCACAGGCCCAAAGGCAAATTTCATTTTTGTAAAAGTTAGCAAATTATCAGCTCAAGATCTGTTTTTTTTAAATAGTACAAACATAAGAGTAAAATAATCATAAAATTAAGACAATTACTGTTGTGCCTTTCTTACCTCCCTGTGCAACTGCAGTTTCCCCTTCCACTAATCCTAGTTAAGATTTTCTTTAGTTGCCAACAAATTAAAACATACATATGGGCTATGAAAATTGTCCTGCTTATTCTGATTCCCAATTGTGTTTTTATGGTGATTCAATAAACACAAAAGCATCACTTTTAACACAGGTGTTTTTTCTTGCTTTGTCCTCATGGTAAGCTCCTAAAAATAAAGAAGCCCCACACATGGTTCTACTAAGTTAATGGGATCTCAGTTGTGGAAGCCACAGGCCGCAAGCAAAGCAATTTCAGATGTGGAGCTGAGGAATGGACAGCCGTCACCTTTGTGTCTTAGATAAGTACAATCCACTTACTTTCTTACAAAGTTGGATCTGGGTCACAAATGATTTAGTGCAGGGGGAATCTGTAGTGCAATATACAGTCTTAATAATCCCTGTCACACTTCATGCATCAATGCTGAATAAGGCAAGAATGCACATTTTATTCAGTCAGTTTTCAGCCAGGGGTTTCTTAGGTGATAAAGCAATGAGCCACACCTGCTTGAAGTTAACAAGGGCTGGTTTGGTGATCTGTCAAACTCAAACATAAATGATTGGGGTTAGAGGACAGAACCTTAAAACACAGAATTGACAGCACTTCTGTGCTGTGGAGCTGGATGTCTCACTGCATCAATGGAAGAAGACAGTCTGCTTTATATTGGGATATTTTAGCTAATATATTCAGCGCACAGATAAAGCAGAAATGACACTGCCGCCTATGTGAAATAATACATGTCACTTATTGCTTTGACATAAAAAATTTTAGCTGGCAACATTATTCAGTAAGTGTTCCTTTCATCATAACCACGAGATTAAATCTCTTGAAAATTTTCATTTGTGAGCTCTTGAGATATCTGCTTTCACACCTCCCCAGAGAACTTCAATATGAGCCCGCTATTTTGCTGCAGCACTGACCCCTGTATTAATAATAGAATTCACATTAAGAGCTGTGACAAAGGTCATTATTTCCCGTGTATACAAAGTATATTAAGCTTGTGACTATGCAATACTTTATGACACATTGTGGATTTATTATTTGAAAATATGTATTTAAGACGCAACACACAGGGAATTACAGAAGTTTAACTCATTTTGCAAGTTTCATATAGTAGTTTTTTAAAAGGCATATTTGAAAAAAAGATACATTTTTTGTAATCAAAAAGAATTACAATCAAAATATACAGCACTAACGTCCGATCCAGGGTGTATCCTGCCTAGCGCCCGTTGCTTGATGGGATAGGCTCCCCCACAACCCTGAATTTGATGAAGCGGTTAGAAAATGGATGAATATACTCAGCGGAAAATGAAATCATAGTAAATTCTAGACCCTAATGATGTCTATCAGAAACCTTTATTTCTGCACTCCTCCCATGCAAATGACATTTTCTTGGAAAATAATCTAGTGATCCAATCTGAGTCTATACACACTGGCCCAATGAGTGCTGACCTTACAGCCCAAATATGAATTCACTCACTGCCTGGGAGTCTGAGGTATAAACTCCTGTGAAATCAGTCACAGCAGAAATTCAAAAATCCCATAAAAAATGTCTTAAGCCCAAGTGGCCTACTCATTTGAAAAAAACAAATCACGTCAGATGTAACAGCATCATAAACCATCAACTTAAAATATTACCACAAGCCATTTTTAATAAGTCAAGGCCAGACAGAGCTGTTGAATACACTCCAAAAATGAGTCAAAGTCTTTCTGCTCAGTATGCAAGAAAGGTCCTTCGTATGTTCTTTTCAAGTAAGACTAGTCTGAAACAGAAGCAGAAAATATCCATCCAGTATCGAACGTACCTAAATTCTGATCACATGACACTTCATCGTGTAAGCTTTCTTGGTCTTAACTTTGCAGTTTCTTTATGCTTTATGAGTACATTCAGATACATTTCCATCTAAAGTGCATCTCAATATTGAGGAAATTTAGAAAAGTCAGTGAGGGTAGATTTACTAGAAAAAAATAATCTCATATGAAAAATGCTTCAAGGTATGTCAGACAAAGAAGTGTCTGCTTTTTTCCCCAAAGTTGATGGATCGTTCCAAAATCTGTTGAGACATTCTCAGAAAAATAAAGGTCATTTATCTGCTTAAACCTTTGGAAACAGGGCATTTGTAAGGAGCTTTGTTTTAAGTGAGTCTTAGAAGAATGCCTTCTTTATACATTTGCATCAGTGTTTAAGATGAATGCAGCTGTAATAAAGCTAATTATTTGTAGAAATATTATATTATCCCTGGGGTGGGAGGGCTATGTTGCTTTGTATATCTTCTGTTCTCGGTTAAGGTCTTCATCAGCTATCACTATCAGCATGTGGCACTGCTGTATAATGAAGGGGAACATGGAAAAGAACTATTGAATGTCAAAGAGGTCTTTCAGCTCTGATAAGGCATATTTTAAGGTGAACTCCCACTGTTCATAGCTACCTAATGAGCCTGAGGTATTAAGGTTCTGTTTAAAAACTTTCAGCTAATTCATGGGAGACTAACTAAATTGAAAATTGAAACTGAAATCAAAATAAAGCATTGTTTAGCATTCTGTTGAGTTGTTTGTGTAATAAGATTAAAAAAACAATTAAATCTGATGAAACACAAAGTTTATTGGAGCATTATCACCAAATATGTGCTTTTCTGGTTTACTTTTAAACAGCTAGAACCCAAGACGTAGGCACTATCATGTCCTTTCAGCAATGTACTGTATTTGCTGCTTGTTATCTGAAAGGCTTTTGATATAGAAAGGAAGATCTACCATTTTTACTGAAGCATTATGATCTCTTCATTGCTTTTAATGGTCTGCCGTGTTAAGGTTTTATCACACATGGCAGAAACACATTTTTCAATGTCTTTCATAATCAAACAAATGGTCAATAAGAGCAGGTGTACAGCACACAAAGTGCCCGCTTAAGACGTTTAATGAGGCTATATTTAATAAGCTTAAATGGAACATTGTGACCACCTGTCTTCTAAAGCTTATTTAATATACTGCCACAGAATAGCACCAGAGACTCCATCAAGAGGCTTTGTGAAGATGGAAACATTTTAAAGTAAACACAAGTGAAATACATTACAGTATCTAATGAAAGTCAGTGGTTTCCTTTTTACGCTATTTTCATATTTCAATGTTTTCCAGGCCCCCTTGCATGTTTTATGTTATTAATTGTAATTTATTAACTGTGTACAGTGGATTGGCTGTCATTATAGGACATATAGTATATATATATAGTTTGACTGAAATAATTATCAATTAGCTAACATTTTATCTTCACATGACTAATTCAAATTGTATGGTAAATGTTTTTTTAATTGATTCTTTATTATTTTTAATTAACATTTTTCAAATAACATTGCATATTTAAATATGCACAGTACAATAAATGATGATATGCAAGCAATCTGTAGTATGCTGTTCTTCCTGAGCTACCTGAGGGCTGTATAAATATACCTTACAATTAATTAGTGGCTCCAATGTAATGGTTTAACTGACTAAAAGCTATTCTGCGGTTCATCATGATGTAAAGACTAAATTAAATTGCAAGTGTTAAAAGAGCTTTGATTTTGACTGAGAGTTCAAGAAATTGCTACTGCCAGTTGAACAATTTCACAGCCTGTGCCCATGATGACTATCTTTGCTTGTCTATCTGTAGATGACTCATCACTTCTGTCTCCTTTCTTGCTTTGACAAATTGATGTGCTTGTCTGATGAACACTCCTATGTTTTATGAGTTATTTTTCTTTTAAAGTTGTTATGATCCACATCGACCATTGATACACTTTAAACATGGTGAGTAACAAATGTACATGACATTTGTGTTTTCTGTAAATGAATACATTTTGTGTAGCTACTTACTGTATATTGAAGCAAATTAGCCAAACCTTTAGATCTAGAAATCTGTTCATATATTTATCAACAGACGTTGATAAATATATGAACAGCTCAAAGGGATATTTTGAGTCCTTACATTAAACATAAGATCACACTTGCTTGTATTTCAACTCTATTCCTTAAAGTAGAACAGAGAATGAGTTTTGTGGTGACACTTGTCCTGGAGAGCATTTTTAGGGTTTTAATTGTTTGGTTAAATTACAAAAACTACTCAATAAATCATATTTCGGTAAGTGTCAATTAGTATTTGATTACTAAACGTTCCTACGGGCTTTCCTAAGTCACAATTACGAGATAAGTCAGAATACTGAGTAACTAAGTCGGAATTCTGAGTTACTAAGTCACAATTCTTAGATACTAAGTCGGAATTCTGATATATAAAGTCGCAATTCTGAGTTACTAAGTCGCAATTCTGAGTTACTAAGTCGCAATTCTGAGATACTAAGTCGGAATTCTGAGTTACTTAGTCGGAATTCTGAGATACTAAGTCGCAATTCTGAGTTACTAAGTTGCAATTCTGAGATACCATAGCAAGTTTTTTTTTACTACCTGGCTGAAACGGGCTTCCACAGGGAAACGGGCTTCCATAGTTTTGCAATGGTAATGAATTAACTCCTAGAAAAAGAGGTACACAGATTAATAGGGGGCCCTTTCCAAAATGCACTACCATGTAACATACATATACTGTATAAAAACTCTTTAAGAATTTACCTATGAATATTTTGCAAACAAGTAAGATGGCAACTCACCCTGAACAAAACAGTCATGAATAATGGGATTGTAATTTAATATCTGCGAACAAATATATGTCAAAGAATCAAAGAAACAAGTTAAATATTTTGGGGAAAATGTTATTCATTATGAATATTTTGTATTTCCTATAAAATAAAACCTACATGCTCAACATACTCCTTCCTGCTATGGTGAACTACGCCATTTGTTTTACTCCTGCTATGGAATGACATGCTATACTATCTTATTTTTATTAGCTTCTTTCAAGCTTATAAACATCTTCATTGCTCACATTTGTATTGCTTCAATTCTTTGGTTAAATCACAAAACAATGTCCAATAAGTCATATTTCAGCAGAAACAAGTATAAATGGAAAAAAAGTCCTTTTACTTATTTGTTCCCAAGTTAGATTATTTAACAGGAGGGCAAAATGCTCAAGAAAAAAAATGCTTCTTTATATCCATGAATCAAGACGCAGGTGAGATTCAATTATCATCAGGGACTTAAGACTGCATGCCAGGTAGTTTAGCATTAACAGCTCCTGTTTGGTAGCTATTACAACTCTTTTCAGCCGATCAATACATACCAAAAGCCTGGCCACTGTCACTTTTCCCTCAGAAGGCAGACTTAAACTTGAAAAATTTATCAGCAGCTGAAGAAAAGAAATTCATCATCACAATCAATAGTGGCTGCTGTTACGCTGGCATAGATGTATAAGACCTATCTGAAGCATTCTTCTTTCCCCATGATATATCTATATTTAGGCAGGTATGAGGCAAAGGATCAATATGCTGCCGGCAGCTAATATTTCACTCAGTGTCTTGGCTGGACACTGTGTGTTCCACTCTCATAAAATGACTTGTCATGCACTGCTGGGCCTTGTCTAATGTGTGGCAGATGGGAGCAGGTGCAGATTAGTATGGGGATAATAGTTTATTTCAGAGGTGTGCACAACATTCTAATGCACAAGAACATTGGGGATGGAGGAAGATTTTGAAAGAAAAAGCAAGAGATGAAGAACTGCGACATGCCACAGATTAATCACCAACCTTCACAGGATGGCTAGAAAGTGTTGCTTTACCTTAACGAAGCAGCCCTGTCACCCTGCTCATCTTCTAGGTCAACTTTAAGCTCCTGACTTGCTAACTTCATAACGTTCACTCCCCTCTGTCAACAGAATAGACACAAAACTAATGTGAAGACATTATCTGCGAAGACGAGCATTTTTTCCCCACTTTCAATTGATTTGCCTTGACTAAATCTGTTTTTGTATTATTTATCCTGGAACTTTATCTTTGGTAAGTGAAAATGTTCAGACTTCTCAAAAATGTGCTCCGCATTCTGATGAGCTAGATCAAAAACAAAACTGAACAATAGGGAAGGAAGTCCATGAGATTTAGTTGATAGAGAAGTAGGGACATCAAGGTCTTGACCTTTAATATTTAATAAGCAAAATTTGATTATTTGAGTGATATATATATTTCACTAGGGGGTGCCAATTATTAGTTTGCAGACCCCTTGGGCTAGCTGTGATCTAGTTTTATCCCAATATGAGAACCTCAGTTCAATACAGCGTTTATACCAATTCGACTTTCACACAAGACTGAGACCCTGAAACAGGATCTCAGGAGATGGAAGGCATGCAAAGGTGATTACGGATCATTCATCCTGAATGCAGGGCTTAAAGTCAATCCTCAGTAAGCACCTTTAAAACAATGTTATGTGTACACAGGGGGCTGAGTGGTCCCCATTTTGATAGGCATTGGGGCTGTTGTGCAACAGACCAGAACATTTCATAAAAATGATAAGGCAAAGAGTAGCTGCTTGGGATTTGGAAATTGAAAATGGATTGATGGGAGTAGAGAAATGATCACACACACATACACACAAAACAACTTCAATTTTTATTTGATGTCTCCTGTGACAGTTATGCCTCACAGTGGACTAGTAACTGGTTACTGATGACATTTTGTCCAGCTTCAAAGTCAACAAAGCTGTGTCATTCCATGTAATTGAGGGTTAAAAATTACACAGATTAAATTACTACAAAATTACTACAAGGAATTCAAACAAATGTATCATGCACACAAATTGCTATTAAATTAGATGTTTTAGCTTCTTTAAATGCTGTATTTAACCTACCATGTGGTTTCTGAAAGTCTATGATTTTAGAAAGGTGAATTTTACATAGTTCCTACACAACAATGTAGATGTTTTCTGTCATGTAGATCCTGAACAGTACACTGCTGTTCTTCTTTTTTGTATTTTATCTTTAACACAAAATTAAATCTTTCAACAATATCTAGTTCATTGCAAATAAATTTAAACACTGAAAAAGTGCTACAAGCAAGCATTGGAGCAAGGTTTAATGGTATAACATGCAATAAATGTAATATAAACTTCATATCAGTACTCTTCATGTTGTTAAATCGTAGCTGAACGCTAAAAATATAATCAATGTAAAACAAAATAAAAATATACAGGAATACAGGTATACAGTTACACAACAAAAAATCATTATTTTCTTATACACTGGTTAACAAAACAATTTTGTGCACTGCCATTTCCATGAGCAGAGATTAAGAGCAGGTTGAAGGTAGACCACTAATTGACCTCTGTGGCACAAACAATTAGACTGTATGTCCATGAAACAGACATGTGTGCTCCTCACTGTTCAGGATTAATTGCTATTACAGGTGGTGCCTTGTAAAAATATGCTTTAAAAACCTGTTGGCAGTTAATGACCCAAACAGTAATACATACAAAAAGGATTTTTTTTTTCCAGACATGCCATTAACATTTTAAATTCAAAATACATCCCATGATGACGTTTATAGTACTGATTCAATGAATATATTGCGAACAATGACTCCCTTTAGACTAGGGATAATCTCTAAGAAATCTGTGAGACTCAGGAGCTGTAAAAAGTCAGAGTACCCTGTTCCCCACATATTGTGAATAGGTACTAGATAATAAAGCAATTATTTTAGAACATTGTTGTCTAGATTAAACTGATTAAAATATAATTAATAAGATAATGAAAAAGTTCTAACCTTCTAATATACTGTGTCATTCAAAAGATGAATATTGTAGTACTGCAGAATACTACAGAATCTGTTGCTAGCAATCAATAATAATGCTACATTAGCAGCTGCACTTGGTCTTTTCACTGGTGACGTTATTACAATGAATTGTGTCTGAAGTTTCTGCTTAATCCTCAATTCTTTGCCCTTCATATCTCAAAGACAGCCTGCAGGCTAGAATTGGCCTTTGCTGACTCTCTTCTGACAGTGAATAAGTTTTCCTTTCTGTGGTTTACTTTTATCTCAGGGATCACACTAAGAGTGGGTCAAGATCAATGCCACTATTCACAAATCTACAGAGACTCCAAGTGATTTTGATAGACCTTATATTTGGTAAATTTCCTTTGCAGCCCAATTTCCTTACAACAACGTCAGAACTAAACAGTATTGTTTATTTTCTCTCAGTCTTTCTATGTATTTTATTTACAGCTTTAAATGCCAACATACACTTATATGTTTTAAATGTAGTAGTCCTTTCTTATATTAAAATTACAATGTTTTCTTCAATATTAAACAGTGAGAAACAGTGCTGTATTATACAAAAACAACATAAATCGTACATGAACTTTATTGTTTTTACATGCATAAGCTCGAAAAGTTACCAAGAAAAATTAATTTAGCTGAAATGTAATTTTCATAGTGAATTCTAGGATTAGAAAACTGCACCTGTAAAATACTCATGTTTGACAGAAGAATGTCTTTGAATTTAATTAACTTGCATTAATTACACGTTTCTGTATTATGTTTAAACTTATTTGCTATTTGTAAAGAATTTTAATTTAAAAAATATTTATGTATAGTTAAAATATATTTTACAAAACAAAGCTTCCCCTGTTATGTTGGAAGCAGGTGTCTTTACTCTTGAATACTTCATTTCACTGACACTTCACAGTCAATCCACCAGGTGGCCACAAACATCCAGTAACAGAAATCGCTGAGGATTAATGACTGTATGCAAGGAATACACATTTAAAACCTGAACTGTGTTTATGCTGAATTTTACCTTCACTTATTCGACATAGTGTTATACACAAAATTTAACAAAACAAGCACTTTTTGTCCAAAAGCTGGTCAAAGAAACAATAATAGCTTTTATGTCATATTTAATCTAACTGCTGAAAAATTCAGTAGAAAACTAAAGAATATGATATGCTACATGGATTTGGTTGAAAAACGTACATTTGAATGATTTTTAAGAATGAAAATAAACTGAGCATAGCCAGGAGAGAAAACAAAAACTGTGATGTGAAACATTGAATTCAAATAATTTAAAAATGGCCTTTTCACAAATGCCTTTAAAGAGGAGAGAACATTGAAGAATTATGAAGAAACGTTGCACATATCTTTCCTCTTTGTTTCCACTGAAGGAAAATGATCATATTGGGTGCGCAAATGATGTTGCATTGTGGATCTGAGACAGAAGGGACATCTTTTAAAATGTATGTTAAGATGTATAAACAACAACAGCTAACCAAAGAACAAGATATGACATTATGATAGATTACCTTCTTACCTCATTGATTAGTACTGGGGGACAAAAACATCACTGAAACAAACTGACAAAAATCAATCCTGCCCATAAGATTAAATCAATTCAGCCCAAATTGGCTGACCTGTGGACAGCACTATTATTAGGGAAGGAACAAGAAACGTAATTAGTATTATAATGACTTTCAAAGAAGGACAAAATGACCTTGTTTGAATCTTAGAACTTAAAATGTCAGATAATTTAAAAAATGTTCAAATGTCATATTGCAGGAAGCGCTTTTGACAATATTATGAACACTTGTTTTGCAGGTCGGTCAAATATTTCACTGTCATACGCACCAAGGAACATTTATGTATGCAGTTTAAAAAAAACAGGTATTTTTTTCCCCACAGATATTAAAAATAATTTTCAAAATGATCCTGTCATAATTATTAACCTGGATTGATAGGTAAAGGTCTTCTAACCTTTACGTGAACGTATACACATGAATCTTTAAAATGGCAGTTCAGCACACAACCTAGCAAGCAGGTTACAGTACATACCTATCTAGAATACAGTGAATAGTGCCATTCGTGTGCAGATACTCTCAGTGTGCAAAACAAGGAGCTACAACAGCAAGAACAGAATAAAAAAGGTATAAAAAGTTAAATATAAGCAAAATACAATTGTATCTCCAAGGGTACAATAAAACCCTTGGAGGTACAGTTTCTTGATGGATTAAACTGTATTCCCTAGAATGTCTAAGGGCTTCAGTCTGCTATTATGGTACTTCAAGGAATAAACAAACTTAATTTTCGCTCTCTGTACATTATGGAATGGGAAAGGAGAGACAAAAGCCAATCTCTTTCTTCCCACAGCTGGTTCCACTGGACCAAAGGGATCCCTCTGAGCAACACATCAAGAAGATGAATGTTGGGCACATGGAGCCAGACAAGGCCTGCTCATTTAAGACATCGTTGTGGCTCAGATGAATACGGGGTGCTGCCCCCCCTAATGGAGAACTGCTGCTCATTTGACAGGAGGCGATAAATAAAAGAACCACAATGCCACAGAGCGTGTTTGGAAGTGGCATACCAGCTACAGTGAAAAATGGCAGATAAGACTGCACAAGCCTCCCCACAATAGGATCCCAGGGTAGAACAGTACTTTAGAGGTTAAATAAAACAGAATGAGTGTGTCTAGGAATCAGCAGCACAATGGGACATTATACAGCAGTGATTCTCAACCAGCATTTAGCCATGGGCCACACTGGACATTTAAAAGAACTAAAACTGCCTATAAATGGATGGCAAAGAATAATACTATTGGTAGGGCATCATCTAACTGGGCTGTTCAGCACCATGAACACAGAGTACTATACAATGTCATTATGTTATTCTAATATTACAGCAAACACCCACTGACAAACACCCAATGTACTGATTTATCAAAATAGGTTGCATATACAGTATAGTGGCACAGTGGTGAGCTTTACTGTCTCACAGTACTGGGGTCCTGTATTTAGTTCCAAACCTGAGGGGGTTCTATCTGCATGGATTTTGTAAACACAGACAGGCATACAATCTCACGGGG